GTACAATTGGGTATATCAAAATGGTGCAGCGCTGTTGTATATGTGACTACCTAAATAAATAAATAAAATATAATAAATCAATACATAGAATATGTACACAGTGCTAAGTAAAATGCCATGTGCAATAAAATGAAAAAATGTCCTTCAAATACATGTACACAGTGAAATAAAGTGCTACATGCAATATTATAAGAAAATGTTCTTTAAATGCATGCACTCAGCACTGCATAAAGTGCCACATGTAATAATATAAAAGAATGTCCTTCAAGAGACATTTCAAAAGAAAATATGTTTGGAGAAATTCCAAAACTTGCTAGGTCCAAAAAGTGTTATTTCTCCCTGTGAAATCCTCCACCATTATGCACTCACCAGTAATAATACAGCAAACTCAGAAGCTCCATCTCTCTCTCCTTGAAACCACTGATGAGATAACCAAGAACCTTGAGAAGAAATGCTCACCACACAAATCCCAAAACCACCCAAAAACCAAATATAGTGTAGTATTTATTAAATTACGATTTAGCTACATTAAAATAAAGCATGGTTGTGGTGTGGTGATTGATGCTGCTTTTTGCCGGGATAAACTAGGTGGTGGGAAGGCAATATATACCACCTGTCAAATGCCTCTGAAAAGCAATCTGAGCATGGATTAGTTTTCAGAGGAGCAGCAGTCCTTGCTGCTATTACAAACAAGTCCTAAAAAAGCAGCTCTGAAAGGACAGGAATAGGGGGTCAAGATTAAAAGTAAAATACAAATACACACATATAAAAACAAACACACACATACAAACACATGTACACACATGAACACACTTACGTACACACACACACACATGTACACACACATACACACACACACACACACACGTATACACACACACACATGTACACACACACACACACACACACGTGTACACACACACACACACAGGCCCATGTATACAGCCCTATAAAAATTTACAATACCTTAGCTTCCATCACACAGTTGGGCACTGCACTCTAGGGGAGGCAGAGAGCACAGAAGACACTCCCCTTCCTTTTGCGTTCACTTTGCTCAGCTGTGTGATGGCTCCCAGTGCCGACGTACAACTGGGGATCGGGAGCTCGGGCTCAAGTGACAGCCATTCTTCCCACGGCACCCTTGAAGACCTCTGGCAACACCCGGTTGAGAATGGCTGCTCTACAGCTTCTAGCCCTCTTCATGCCCAGTATTACTACATAGACAGGCAACATATTCTTCTGTTATCAAAAACGTAGAGGAATTAACTTTAATATCTCTAATATCTCATAGGATCTGTTTAGTGTCTTTTAAAAAAAAGCTGGAGTCTGCATTACCAAAGCTTGCAAGAAAACAAATCAATATATTCATCTGCCCTTGAAAACAGGGAACCAGTTCCACTTATAATAGGCCTTCCAGGGGGATGGGACTGGTCTTTATGAATCTTCGGAAGGCAATACATGATAGGCATTCGGGAGCAGAAAGGCATAAAAAATCCCTTTGTTTTTTAGTGATAATACCTTTTTTATAGCCATATTTAATATTCTTAACCAAACTTTTCTTAAATCTGGACGTAGGGTCTTTGGGCAAAACTTTATAGAGTATCTTTATCCTCAAGAATTCTATAGACCTATTCCATATAATCCTTCTTATCCCAAATTATTACCTCTCCCCCCTTATTGACTGGTCTAATGAACAGGTCCCTTCTTTCCAAAAGATTGTTCATCCCCATGGAAATAGAACCTGATTGTCTAGGATATTTAACCTTTAATGTTTCTAGATCCTTAAGGACCATATTTGTGAAATTCATAATGTGGGGATTATTAGAATTTGGTGGATTAAATAAAGAAGTACAACTGGGTGCCTAAAAGTATGTTCTGAAGCCACACCATGCATTAGCATAAAATAATTATAAGTGATAAATAATACATGGATTTAGATATTTTACCAGGGATATGATAATTTAAGGAAGAACCATTTTTTTCCCTAATCACGAAGCAGAAAAGAATAATATATTTAACACAGCTACCAAGGAGGAGAATATTTCTATTGCTGACAGAGTGAGAGCTGCGTAAATAGAGATTTAAGAGTATATAACAAACTTTAATGAAGACATATTACACTGAGCACAGATAATACATGATGGAAGGAACAATATAGAATACAACATTTCACAAGAAAAATAAGCTGATAATGAACAAGGAAGACCAAGCAAGTTACGGTTGGTTTAAAACCTTGACCACATAAACCTTTACGCCCAAATTTACAAAATTGTCCTTACTAGTGGTCCAGTTAAATTCTAACTCATTTGATTCCTGATTTCTTGAAATGTAAAAGATGTTCTTCATATTGAACTACTTTATATAAGAACATGTTTGCTAATATTACACATTTATAAAGGATATTTTCATGTTAACCTCACAGTATATTTTTTTACTATAATTTGCACATAAATTAAATTTTGCTGAAAGAGTGTAAGAAAATCTGAACCATAAGAAGTCCTTAATGAGTGAGCATACCCTTGTCTTTGTCAGTGAACAAACTGGCAATTGGTCTGAAATAATGATAAAATTGGCATGTGTGTTATGTATATCTTCATAAAGTAAAAGTTGTTGAATGGGCAGGGCGGCTTGTGACTTAGTTCTCAGTCTGGTTACACTGCTTCTTCTCTCCTCATTCCCCCAGATCTGATCTTGCTGCCATTTCTCTCTCCCTCTTCTCCTGACCCCCTCATAATTTCAGTCATGCTGTTTCTTTTCTCCTCCTCCACCTTTTACAGTCTTGTCTTGAAGCATCTCTCTTCATTACTCCTACAGTGTAGTTTCACTGCCTCCTCTCTGTCCCTACTAGACTGTCCAGCCTTGTAGCCCCCCCCCCCCCCTTTCAATGTGGGTTGCTGCTTTCCTGTTTCACCTATTCACAATCCAGGCTCATTGCCCCCTCCACTCCCACTCCATAATCCAGTTTTTCTGTAGCTCTCTCCCTCTCTTTCACAAAATATTATCATTGCCTCCTCTATCTTCATTCTCCAAAACCCTGTATCTAGGTTTCCTCTTTCAACCTACCTTTGTTCACTCTACTGCCCGCAATTTAGTTGCAATTACTCCTATTTGCCACTATCCAGTCATGCTGCTGCTTTTTCCACTACTTTACAATATGATCCCACTGCATTCTCTCTCACCCCCACCCTTCCACAATCTCATCCTACTTTCTGTGCTCCTCAGATTTACAATGATCTCAGTCACTGGGCACAGACTTTTAATTTGCTAGAATAGACAGAGTAATGACCAGGGGCGGACTGACAACTCATGGGGCCCCCGGGCAATAGGGGATCATGGGGCCCCTTTGTCCTCACCTACACCCAAAAAAGCCTACTGTACCAGGGGCATCTCATGGGGCCCTCTACTGACCCCGGGCCCTCGGGCAGTGCCTGAGTTCCCAAATGGTCAGTCCGCCCCTGGTAATGACAGGACAAAACAAGTTTGCTAAGAAGATAAGTTTAGTGGCGATGGAAGTGTAGATGGGGAAGAGTATAGGCACAAATAGCGTTCGGATACTAACAGGAATAATAACACAAAACAAACTATTCAATAGGGCATATGTGACAGTCAGCTACACACCATTGAGACTTGTAGGTTCTCTGGTTAATCAAATTGACTTATGAGGCAACTGGTTGCCTGGATACTTCTGACAAAATATAAAGATAGATTCTTTTGTATGTGTTTCTTTACCGTATATCATTATTTTTGTAGTACAAAAGCAAAGGTATTTTCTTTTTACAAACACTCATTTTTTTCAAACTAGCAGAAATGCTTTATTATGATATATTGGTCACATTTTAGTGTAAAGGGCCACTAGAACGTTCTCTGTGAAAGTAAAAAAAAAAAAGCACAATATTATGTCTATGTTTTAAAATAAATCCAGGGTAGGATTGTGCTCAAAATTCAAAGGCAGTGCTCCCTTCCATGCTTTGCATCTGCTGATCAATGGTACACAATATAAACTCCAATTTTCCTTTTGTTATGACATCACTACAACTGACAACTGATACCAGTCAATAGTATAGATATTGAATTCCCTGACTCCAAGCTTACAGCCAGGCAAGCAGGACAGAATAATTATCCCCTTGATCATTTGTCACTTCAAATGCATACTCTTCCAAGAACCTGAAAATTAATTATCTTGTTTCCGAAGTTCTACATTTAGCACAGGTAACACCATGCTTTATATTAGTTATATTCACATATACAAATGCACACTATGTATAATATCTTGATACCAAATTACAATGGTACATTTTATAGACCAAGCTAATTTTTTTTATACAATAATACTGATATAATATACATTCATAGAATTCATTAACATGACAGAATGTCACAGAATCATGGCCTACTGACATGGAACAGGAAACAATGGGGTAGATTTACTAAAAATGATGAACTGAGAAGCTGGTGCACCTGTGCATGGTAGCCAAACAGCTTCAAATGTCAGCTTGTACAATTAAGCTTTGGCAATAAAACCTGAAAGCTGACTGGTTTCTGTGCAAAGTTGCACTAGATTTTGTACTCTCCACTTTTAGTAAATAAACCCCAATGTGTTAGATGAGGCAAATGTATAACAAAACTAGAAATAGGAAATTATGGCAGGCTCAAACATGAGGAGTGACTAAATATAAGAAATTATTTAGTCATTTGGCAAAACTCTGCTTACTTTACTGAGTATTACTTGTTCAGGAGTTAGTTTACCAAAATAGCAAAATTTGGGAAGTACAGTATGCTGTTCATATAAATTACCTAAGCATTGGGTGCAGGTTAATTTTGCTTCACATGGTTGCAATTTAATGTTTTGCAGTGCATATTTAAAATTCATGGAGGAAGCATGGCAGCCCATGACAGCAATGCACCATTGGAAGTAAACTTAAAGTGTTACTAAACCCAGGACCCTGCATTCACTATATCTGGTCTCCAACAGTACACGCAACATAGAAATGCAATTATTATAGTAAATATAAACTGCTAAATACTTTTTTTCATCAGCAGTTAGAGCAGTCTTGTGACTTCTATCAGCATTCAGCCGAACACCAGTTAAAGCTTGTAAGAGGGGTTTTCATTCTGCTCTAGGAAGATGCAGGACCCCTGCCCTCTGTCTGGACAGTGCTGATTGGCCCTGTGCTGATCACATGCACTCTCCCAAGAAAAAATAAACCTCTCTACCAATACCCACCAAACTGAGCATGTCCAGAGTGACTTCACACGATATGTCTTATTAGGAGATAAGAGGGGGTCACTGGAAGAAGGGGAGGATCAGAGACGTCAGGGTCAAACAGAGTTTTTACACAATGCAGAGGATTAACCCCTTAGATTCCACAGTGAGTATAACAAGCATGCTTTTCAGCGTATACAGACTGATTTTACGGTTGTGGGTTTAATTTAAAAAATATAATAAACATGTTATACTTATCTGCTCTGTGCAAAGGTTTTGCACAGAGCAACACCAGTCCTCTTCTTTTAGGTACCCCGATAGCAGTCCTGGCACCTTCCCCCAGCCGAGTGCCCCCAATAGGGGACTCAAGCAGGCATGCTCCCGAGCCGTGCTCCTGTGAATGGATATTGTCCATTCACACACAGAACATGGTTTAGCCCTGCCCCCCACTCTCTCCTCATTGGCTCACTGGCTGTGATTGACAGACGTGGGAGCCAATGGCTCTCACTGCTGTGTGGGCCAGTGAGGAGAGAGAGACCCAGGAGAGCCATGGCTCTCATACACATCACTGGGTTGAGATGGAGCTCAGGTAAGTATAAGGGGGCTGATGGTGGAGCTGCACCCAGAAGGTTTTTTACCTTAATGCATATTACTCATTAAGGTAAAAAACCTTCTGCCTTTAGAACCACTTTAAATTATTCCTATGCAAGCAATAGATTACAATGGATGGAAATTTTGATTAGTACAGTGAGGATTAATGTGTGCAAGAAGTGCAAGCTTCTTGTCTTTTATAAAGTGGAGTTTTAGAATTCCCTGATAAAAACACAGAGAAATCTGTTATGTTTTACATTCCTACAGAGATGGCATCATAAAAGTACTATGGCATGAAGTGACATCACTTTCTAAACTGTCAAACTAGTTTCATTACAGCACCCACGTCTCTGCAGCATTCAGCATCTACATTTAGTGCCATTTAAACTCTTGCAGTGCTTTAATATACGTATGTTAAACTGTGTTGTGTGTGAACATGTGTTGCATTAAGACAGCCCTTTGATATCAAAGAGCTTCCAACACATCAATTCTTCCCAAAAATTGGACTTTGCACACAATTTTTAACTCAACACACTACAACTATGGTGAATTGCAGTGGTAAGAATACATATGCTTTGACGTTTTTGTGGGGAAAATATGAATATCTTCAAGATATGTAACAATAAAGAAGCACAAACAGATAAATATCCACTCATGTCTATTCAGTGTTAAATCTTAATAGTAGCTCATGCAGACAAAGGGTATACATTCTCCCTTATACTTTGCAGCACTACAGCACACTATGACCTGTCCATTGTATCTTATGAAGTTCTCTCTGCTTAATGCAGCATACAGTAGATTGTTTTTAAGTCATATGACCAAACTCTTTTGTGGGCTTTTTATCCCACTTCAATTTTTTTTTTGTGCCTGAGTGGTTTCAGACTTCTGAAACTAGCACAGCATAATGCACCTTTGTAAAACACACCAGTGTTTTTTTTTTTTCAAAGCAGTGCAATGGTTGCTGGACAACCATACTGCTGCATTTTAAAAAGATACCTAAGGGAATGTATATGAAAAAATACTACATGTCAGGGATACTGAAACAAAAATGCCAGAAAGTGTGCAGTGTGCTAACTGCAATTCAGTGAATTTATGAAGTTATCTTGTCTGTTCATGAAGGCATCATGTAAAGTTCCTAAAATGCATGTCATTGTAAGAAATCACAATTCCTTTCTGATGTCATATATGATACAGCCTTGCCAATGGCTGCATTATGCGGTTTTAAAATATGCGTTTTTTAGCTAAAAAAAAAACTTGACCAATCTAAATAAACAGAACAAAATCCAGAGCACTGACATCTAAAAGAAACATAAAAAATTGTTTGCATCATGCTTGGATTATAACAACATTAAAAATGTGTATCTCAGATACCCATTCTCTTAATGTAAAGAGACCTTTCGACTTTCAGTGCCTTAAGATTACCTTGCGAGCCTGGAAAAGCACCCTAACTATGACTTGTTTAGGTAAATCTTCAGCAGGAATATCACACAGAATACATAATAAACTTTGTTTGGGGTCTTCATGTATGTGGACCTGAAAGACTTGGTTAATAGTGGCTATGACCCCTTCCAGTATTGATGCAATTTTGGGCATCACCATAAAAAAGTGTATTAAATCACCATGATCCCTACCACAGCATGTGCAAGTTGGGTTTTCTCTCATTCCCATACCAAATAGTCTTGCAAGTGTATAATGTACCCTCAAGACCATGTATTAACTGTGAAAGATATTGAGCAACATTCAAAGAACACTGTTGGACTGCTAATAGAGCTTCATCCCATTGCTCCTCCTCAAAACCCCCCACAACCTTCTCCTAACGGAAAGCTACTCCAAGAGGATCACCCAAACAGTCCTCTCCACTTCTCTTATGATCTTCTGCTCTAAAACTCCCTTGTCTCCTCTTCCCATGCTTGTCTCCAGGACTTCTCCAGAGCCTCTCCCATCCTATGGAACTCTCTACCTCAATCCGTCTGGCTGCCTTTAGGCAATCACTGAAAACTCATCTCTTCAGGTAAGTCTATCAAACCTCCAATTAAACATTTATCACTTCCATCAACTCATCCCCCTCATTTATAACCTTTTGTACCACTTGCCCCACCTTATTATATTGTAAGCTCTTATGAGCAGGGGCCCCCTAATCCTCCTGTTTTTTATTGTATTGTATCTGTACTGTCTCCTTTTATATTATAAAGTGCTGTGCATACTGTTGGCGCTATATAAATCCTGAATAATATTAATAATAAAAAAAAAGAAAATATTCAGTAGCATGGAGTAACACTGTGATAAAAATGCCTTATAGGAATCCACCTCATATACATAGTTAAATATAGGGGTAGGTGATTGCACACAAATGTCCAGCCCCTGTTGTGACTAAACTGCATGCTGAAGTTGTAATTAGTAAAACTGCATTGATTTAGGAGGACAAAATGTTCCTTGGGCTCTGAAAAGAGACAAAGGGCTCTGTCAGAGAAAATATGATGGAGGTGAATTATACCATATTGTTTCCATTTAGCACTATATTGTAATACTGCTAGCTCTGAGTAGTGGGCATTTCCCCAAATAGGGCTAAATCATGTAATCCCCATAACTTGTTGCTATTGTCTAGCCTTGTTCCATGTTTTTTGCATACGCATGAAAGAGTTTATTCGATTTACCAGACCTCCTGCTATCTCCTCAGTACCCACAGTAAAACCTAGTAATCTAGTAGAGATGTCAAAAGTGTTCATCTCTGCCATAGCAGCTGGGCATATGGCCCTCGCTATGTATTGCAGCTGAGCAGCTAAGTAGTACAGCCAAGGGTTAGTCAATGCCAGTCCCTAAATATCCTTGGGTCACTGAAACGGCTCTAACTTTACCCTAGGGTTTTTAGACTGGAAGGACTTGAAAATGGAATTGATAATCTGAAACAGTTTTAAAGGGATGACCAACAGAGAGTTATGGAGGAAATAAAATAACTGGGGCATGAGGATCATCTTAAAGAGGTTAATCCGTCCAACCAATGACAACGTAAGTCTAGTCCACACCTTGACCCTGTCCCAAAATTGATTCAGTAGATTTAGACCAGTTGATGATTAGGCTTGAATATGTGCCAAATTCGGTAATCACTGCCTCCCTGAGGTAAGATAAAGTATCCCTTAACATTAACATAGTATCATCAGCATACACTGCAAGGCATTGTACACTGTAACACACTGGACACCGCAATGCATTTTACACTAATGCAATGGACACCGCAATGCATTGTAGACTATAACCCACTGGACACCGCAATGCACTGTACCATGTAATGCACTGGACACCACAATGCACTGTACTCTGTAATGCACTGGATACCGCAAGGCATTGTACACTGTAACGTACAGGACACCAAAATGCATTGTATTGTGTAATGAACTGGACACCGCAATGCATTGTACTCTGTAATGCACTGCACACTGCAATGCACTGCACACTGTAATGCACAGGACAACACAATGCATTGTACTCTGTAACACACAGGACAATGCAATGCACTGTACACTGTAATGCACTGGAAACCATAATGCACTGCACACTAACACACTGGGCACCACACTGCAACGCACAGGACAACACGATGCAATGTACTCTGTAATGAACTGGACACCACAATGCATTGTACTCAGTAACACACTGAAAGCCGCAATGCACTGTACACTGTAACGCACAGGACAAAGCAATGCACTGTATTCTGTAACGCACTGGACACCACAATGCATTGTACACTGTAATGCACTGGACATCACAATGCACTGTACACGAATGCATGGGACACCACAATGCACTGTACTCTGTAATGAACTGGACACCACAGTTCATTGTACACTAACGCACTGAACACTGCAATGCATTGTAGACTGTAACACACTGGACACCGCAATGCATGTACTCTGTAACGCACCGGACACCGCAATGCACTGCACACTATAACGCACAGAACAACACAATGCACTGTACAGTGCATTGCGGTGTCCAGTGCGTTAGTGTACAATGCATTGCAGTGTCCAGTGTGTTACAGTGTACATGCATTGCGGTGTCCAGTGCGTTACAGTGTACAATGCATTGCGGTGTTCAGTGCATTAGTGTACAATGCATTGCAGTGTCCAGTGTGTTACAGTGTACATGTATTGCGGTGTCTAGTGCGTTAGTGTACAATGAATTGCAGTGTCCAGTGTGTTACAGTGTACAATGGATTGTGGTGTCCAGTGTGTTACAGTGTACAGTGCATTGCATTGTCCAGTGCATTAGTGTACAGTGCCTTGCATTGTCCAGTGCATTAGTGTACAGTGCCTTGCATTGTCCAGTGCATTAGTGTACAGTGCCTTGCGGTGTCCAGTGCGTTACAGAGTACAGTGCAATGCGTTGTCCTGTGTGTTACAGTGTTCAGTGCATTTCGGTGTCCAGTGCATTACAGTGTACATTGCATTGCGTTGTCCAGTGCATTGTGGTGCCAAGTGCGTAATAAATACGCCACATGAGGCCGGGCATTGTTGTGCACCAGGAGGAACCCAGGG